CCTTCTCGGACTTGGAGCGCTTCGAAGCCGCCTACGGGAATCTCCAGGACGAATCTTCTTTAACTTCCCTCCAAGAAGCCATCCGCCCGTACCTGCTCCGGCGCATGAAGGAAGACGTGGAGAAGGGTCTTCCCCCCAAGGAGGAGACCATCATCGACGTGGAGCTCACGGGCGTGCAAAAACAATATTACAGGTATTCCCTCTCTCCCTCGACGGCAACTCACATTGAGTCCTCCTCCTCCTCCTCACCCCTTCCCGCCCTGTCCCTCCCTCCCTCCCTCCCTCCCTCCCTCCCTCCTTCCCTCCCTCCCTCCCATCCTCCCCTCTCCCTCCCGTCCAGGGCAATCTACGAGAAGAACGTGGAATTCCTCCTGGGGGGCCGGAAGGCCGTCGACGGGCCCAGCCTGATGAACCTGTGCATGGAGCTCCGAAAGTGCTGCAACCACCCTTTCTTGAACAAGGGAGTGGAGCTGGACATCCGGAGCCACGCAGAGGCCACGGGCAAAGTCTACACCTCTGACGCGGACCTGCTGGTGCAATACAGGTGAGCTGCCTGCTTGTGGGTGGGGGGCCTTCTGCCACTTTGACGTGTACATGCCTCGGTTGCTCGACGTGCACTCGCATGGATCTAGGAATGCGCAAGGAAAAACGACCACAGGGACGGCCTTGTACGATCCTAGGATTATGACGATCACGACTGATACCTATCCCCCTCCCTCACTCGTCGGGCAGCGGGAAGCTCGTGCTCTTGGACAAACTGCTGCCCCGCCTCCAAGCAAACGGACATCGGGTCTTGCTCTTCAGCCAGTTCAAAATCATGTTGGATATCCTCGAAGATTATTTGGAAGGGAGAAAATTTTCCTTTGGACGGATCGATGGAACGGTCACGGGAGAGAAACGACAGCAGGTAAGGGAGAGAAGGAGGGCAGATGGATCGATGGGAGTGGGAAAAAATCCGTCGAACATGCGTTCGGCAGGAGTGAAGTAGGGGAAGAAGGAGTGAAGGGGAATTGAGAAGACAAATATTGAAGGGGGTGGGGGAATGAAGGGACCTGGAAATGGCACAGGAGTAAGCGGAAAGGGCCACGGAGAGGAAGGAGAGGATGGCAAGAAGGGACAAGGAGGAAGGAGCGAGTGTGACCAC